ACAAAAAACAAAACAAAAAAACATATCAGATCTCAAAGTATGTGTATGTTGTCAGTCATTGTACATTTAGGTTGAAATTGAGTGATGCTTGACATTGAAATGATATCAAAATATGTCAATAAATTATGTAGTTTTGACATGTTTGATGTCACATTTATGTTGAATTGATATCGAAGCTTGATAATGAATGATATCAAAATAGCATTAAAATGACATCAACATCATGACATCCTGACGTTAAATAGATGTAGAACTGACATCAAATGCTAACAAAGCTTGACATTGTAATGACATCAACATCATGACATCTTGACGTCAAATAAATGTTGAATTGACATCAAATGCCAACAAAGCATGACATCAAAATTACATCAAAATTACATCAGCAGAGGTCAAAATCTTGACATCAAATTGACATCGACACTTTGACGTCAATATGACTTTCATTTTTGACCTATTTCGTGACGTAATTTGATATCAATGTTTGATGTCATATTGATGTTAAATTGACGTCAAGGTGCCCCCTGGGAAACAAATTATGTTCAAGAACGGATTTTTTTTAACTCTTTTTGGAAGGACTTGAAATATTAAAGCCACAGATGAGAATCTTGTGCTGGCCAGTGTTACACTTACTTATACTGACACCTGCCGGCGTGTGTCCGCGCAGAATCATGCAAAAATAAAGGTTTACAGTAAGGGATGTGACTATTAACCCTCTGGGGTCTGAGGTGTTTTTGGGGTCCTTGAGATGTTTTGACATGCCCTGACATTTGTGCTTATTTCAGCTACTTAAAACATACCATTTGCCAACATATAAATTTGCTGTATTCAGCACAAACTCTGCTACAATAATATGTGAGCAAAATGGATGTACATGTTTGCATTTTATAGAAAAAAATATTATGCGTGGTTAGTACATTTTGGGGGAAAAAATGTCACTGCAATAAGGCCATTTAACACATACTGAATTGTTGTCCACAAGACTTTTGAGTTACTATTCTTGTAGGCTACAATTTTTACTTCAAAATGAAGTGAAAATCATTCTGACCACTCTTTCACAAACAACAATATAACGATTTAAATTTCTTACGTCAGTTTTTGGGTCAGCACTGCTGTATGCGTGGGAGTGTGAATGGCCATGAATATTAATGTGATTTACACCAGGGGAGACTAAAGACACTTCCCCAATGGCTATAATGGCCCATCAAGGTGCTGTGAGGCAGCCTGAACTATGAATGATTCACTGATGAATACAAAATTAAAAAGAGCAGTATTTATTCAAAATAGAAATCTTTCCTAAGAATGTAAAGACTTAAAGTCATTACTATCACTTAACACATCCTTTCAAAAAAACAAACATAAAAAGACCAAACTTGTTTTTTTTTTTATAAAAAGAAAAATTTAGTCAAAGAATCCTAAAAAAAACTATCACAGGTTAAACAAATTAAGCAGCACAACTGTTTCCAACATTGATTTAAAAAAAATCATATCAGAATGATTTCTGAAGGCTGATGGTTAGTTAGGTAGCGGTACATCTCACTGATGCTGACATCTGTCCATTTATATTTGCAGTGTCTGTGGAACGATGTCAACATCGGTCTCTGTTTTCCATGACAGAGTGACTGCCTGTTGCTCGTCTGCTTGTTTGCCTTGGCTCTCTTCGGAACGACACATCACTACATTTCAAACATTTACACATCTATTCACAAACATCTGTGCATAAGGCAGTATTTACGCATGATAAGTAGTGTCATAGACTAACCAAAACTGAATATTTATATATATAAAAATATATATTGTATTTAGACTAATTTTCTATTTAAAGCTAAATAACATGTACAAATCAACCAATGTAAAATAATGAAGAATAATTTCCACAATTTAGGTTTTAATTGTTTTTATGTAAAAATAAATAAAAATAATAATAATCTTACATTTTTACAACACAATAACTGCAAGGGACCATACTGTAAAAAAAAAATACAAATATGAAAAAAATAATTATTTAGAATTTTGTATTTAAAGCAAAATAACGTGCAAATCAACCACAGTAAAATAATGAAGAATAATTTCCAGTTAATTGAATTGCTTAAAAAAAATTATATATTGACAACACACTTGAATTACATAAAAGTGACCAAAATTGTTACATCAAAGACACACACTTCACTGTTCAAGACCTCCATCATCCAAAAAGCAATCCCAGCTACAGTAGCCAGGGTTGTCATCAGAGGAGTAAAACCCCAAAAGCACTCCCCGTTGTCCATTTCCCTGGTAGCCAGCCCCACAGTCTTTGTAAAGCTGGCTGCATTGTAGGCCCCTGCACATAGAGATGGTGTACGGCTTTCTGTACATTTGACGGTGTCTCTCTGAAAGTCTTTTCCAATTCACTACACCTGTTCAATTTCAAAACACAATGAAAGTCACAATTCAGACAATAAATGAACAAATCTTTAACTGCCAAAAGTTTCATGTTAGGGAAATGGAAGAGGGTGATATTAATCTAGCCTAATTGTTATACCCACAAAAAAAAAACACGATGGGGCAACCACACTTATTGAACTCACTATCAAGCCAGCTGAAGTGTGCGTCCTGCTGAAAATGCTCCTGGCTGACAATGTTGTTTAATCTCTGGCATGTCAGAGCCAGCCTCAGGATTGCAGAGCAGCCGTCTTGTAGAACGACAAAGACAAGGATCCTCTGGAGAATGTCATCGGGCAACTGTAGATATGAAACAAGATTTAATATAGAGTCATTGCAAGCCATTTCATCAACATTAAAGTGATTATGAACACATACCTGCAAAATGTCAGTGGTCACAGCCCCATCCTGTGAAACCCTTAACATCTTTGCTGGGATCGTAGGTACCTTTAAAAAAAAAAAAAGGAAAACAAAGAAAAACACAGTTTAAGAAAAAGCTGCATATTACATAATGTAAAGGTTGCTGCATCCTTCAAGCTAATGAAAGTCGCCTAGCTCTGAAAGTGAGTGAGAAAACGAGAATGAAAACAGTCGGGGAAGTACCTGTGGGAGAAAAAAAAAAAACGTTTTAACTGAAAATGCATAACGTTAAATTCTCTTCACATTTACACTTCTCAATACAATCAAACAATCACCAATAAACAGAATAAAACAATAAATACAAACGTACCTGCCACACACCAACACTAAAATGTTATCTATGTGGTCTCGGGCCATTAAATAATGCTCAAAATGGAGATTTGCGTTCGTGCATCTCTTAACTAAAAAAATGTCAAACATTTAAATTAACAAGCAATCAATATAATACTCACATCTGCACACTCTACAAACATTATATTTAAAAAAATCATTAGAATTAATACCTGAATAGAAGGGGAGAAAATCGCTGATGTTTCCCCACAGCGAAGTATGGAATGTAAAAACCCCGCGAATTTACTCCGCCCCGCCCCCGCGAAGTGGAGGTGACGTATTTCCTGTTTGAGAGTGGAGCTCCAATCGCCCACAGTCTGCAGCCAGACCCTTCTCCTTTCACCGGAAAAGAGTTTACCACTTCCGGTCTCGGCGGCCATTTTTGTGAAATAGGCCAATTGCATTGATTTAAACGGCTTCTTCTTCTTCTTCTTAGGGTTTATTGGTGGTTGGCAAACAAGGTATTGGTGCATTACCGCCACCAATTGGTGTGGATCAGAATGTCTACTACATTGTTTAAAAAAAAAAATCAATATCACTTAAATTAGTCTCTCTAAGATATTGAAACAATAAATTATAACTATCTAATATCTTTTGACTCTTTCCGTAGAGGATCTATTAAATCAAAGCGTATTATCATCTCCAAATTTTTGGATCAAATATCTTCTTTCTCTTTCATATTTCTGACAATATATCGGAGCATGTTCTACTGTCTCTTCCAGCAATCCCCCCCCCCAGGTTTTACCTATTAAGTTTACCTATTTTGAACGGTGTTCCAATAGGTAATCCAGTGTGTCCAAAACCGAAGCCTCGATATTATTATTTCATCCCTCCAATTCCTTCATGTATACCTAATTTCTCCCACTTTCCTTTCCACTTTTCTCCCAATCCCTACTTTGAATCCTGCGAAACCATTGCCCTTTTCTTGTTTCTTCCCATTTTTCCTTCTCCTAATCTCTTTTTAATAATGCTCTTGATTTCTGCCTTGCTGATGCTAACTGTAAAATCAATGTGATTACTTTTTGTAACTTGCTATTTTATCAACCATTTAATTTCCTTTAAACCCATTATGTGCTGGTATCCAGAAAAATACCACCATAAGCCCCATCAATTTTTATTCTGTATAGTGTTTCTCTCATCTCTATCAAAATATCTGGTCTGCTGTTTGAATTACTGCACTGTAAACTGGTTAACAATGAAGAGTTCTTAGTTCTAGCTCTTATATCGTTTATCCACAGTAATGCTATGCAAGCATTTCTCCTGTGTATACTGATTGATCCTTTCCCCACTCTGATATTACATTCTGGAACAATAAATGATACTCCGATTCTATCAGCTTAATTCTTTGATGCATATCTGAACATAACCATGGTAATTATTACCAATGTAGCCTATTCTTGATATATGAGTTGAACACAGACTCCCTGTTTTTCTTTCTAATATTGTGAAATCTACTGTAGCGTCAGGAAGTATTCTGAATTGTTGGTAATAGGCCTACACCACACATCCATGATCTATATTGATCTAATTAGTCCCATGTATATGGCCTTCAAAGCCATTCTGTCTGCTTCCCATTCACCTCAAACTAAGCACCTCCTTACATTTAATATTTTCTTACATTTGTTTATTAGTTTTTCTATGTGTACAGCCCCCTTTCATCAAACCATAATCCTAAAAAGTTAAAATGTTTCACCCTTTCTAATTCTTGATTATATAATTTTAATTTTTTTATTTTAAACGGTTTAACAGATGTCGTTATTGCGCTGGCTTCGAAACAGCAGTGTGCACGCCACTTCACCTGGGGCGCTGTTACTTTGTTCAAACGTAATATTTACAGCAGATTGTACGACCTGAAGAAGATACATCTTTGTTGGAGTAGTGCTAACTCTCTCCATCTCTTTCCCATTTGGGTCGCATTTATACAAAATTGCAATACCAAAAAGGCTCGAATGGCAACAGAGAGCGAAGAGAACGGCACGGAAATGCAAACTGAGGTCTGAATATGTTGTCACATGGAGCCAGTGAAATATTAGCGCTGACGCTATTGCTAGCAAGCACTATGACTGATTAGTTTGTCAGTGCCTTTATTAGGATACATTTTTAATCAAATACTTTTTGTTTTCAAAATGACCTGCCTTATGATAGATTATTCTTTTTGAAAAGAACAATTATATGTGGCTAAATATTCTGACCCCATTGAATTGGATCAATATGTTTTACCATTTTTTGTTGATGTCAAACATGTTGTGTCTCAGGTGGACGAGTCTGCTTATTCGCTGGCTCGGTGCAAGCTGGATAACCTCCTCAATAAGAGCATGAGGATTCGGATGACAGACGGGCGCACGCTGGTGGGGCTCTTCCTGTGCACAGACCGAGACTGCAACGTCATCCTGGGATCTGCACAAGAATTCCTCAAATCTACAGGGACCCAGTACACCCCAGGTACACACCTAATGCTTTATCAACATTTAATCATTATTATTCTTGTCACTTTATTTTCAACACTTGCTTTCTATTGTCAGGAATTTTAACAACTGTAATTATTAAAGGCACACTATGTAAGATTTTTGGATCAAAATATCCAAAAAACACTAGAATGTGTAATAAATGTTATATATTTTGTTGATTTGTGTACTTACATTATCCCAAATGTTTCTAAGTTTAAACCAGGACACGGATCGTGTCCTTGCATCACCTATCAATGACATAATTCCCGCGTTACCCTCGGTTTCCGACTTATTTTGCAGGGACCATGGAAACATAAAAGACGCTTTAATATATTATGTGTTTTATTAGACAGGTGAGCAACTGTTTGGATACATTCATTGACAGAAAACTAGTCATTGTTATACATCTCAACTAGGGGTGTAAATATTAATCGATTCGTATCGATCCATCGATTATACAGCCGACGATTCGATGCATCCGCAAGAGTATCGATTAATGTGTTTATTTTGCCGCCTGTCTGTTCGCCTGTCTATTTTCAGCATCCGCTCCGACATATGCGTACAACCTATTCCTAAGCTGCGGGTGGCGCTAACCTCATTATTGTCTTCTACTTCACACGTGTTACTTACGTTTCACAGTCTATCTATGTTCACACACATTGTTGAGTCTGACTTTCAAGAGCGATGGAACCGTCAGAGCGAGCTGGCAATGAAAGTGAAATGTTACACACTCCAGGCGGCATCAAGTCATGGGTGTGGAAGTATTTTGGCTTCAGGAAAACAGATGGAGCAGTGGTAAGAGATGTTGCTGTTTGCAAAGAAGACTGCTATAGTTTAACATACACATTATGTGAATAGAATACTGTGGCGAGCAGGATGCGGCCGACGTGAGAGAACGGCTCGAGGCCGGTGGTGTGAGTGTTAATGAACGTCACCTGTGAGACGCACCGGTCTCGCATCTCTCACGGAGGAGCGGAAGCATAAAAAGCGACGACGCTGAAGATCGAGAGACCGGTGCGTCTCACAGGTGACGTTCATTAAAGGTACAATATGTTGGAATTTTTCACCACAAGAGGGCGCAGTTACCAACAATAACAAAGGCGAAGCTTGGTGACGCTATGAGGGAGAGTTGAACGATGGGAGATGTCGTTTTCACCATCCAGAGATGTTATGGAATTAATGAATCATAATCATGGATGAGGTAATTTATTTGTTTTTGTATTACCTGTAAGTCTGATCGCAATATTTTATGTCACCATAATGAATTAACTGCAAGGAACGCGAAATGTTATGCTACATTATCCTGTTACAGCTATTTGTCAAATGATTTGTTGGGTTAATGCAGCGCAGTTTTACATGTTTATGGTTAATGCCGTGTTGTTTTACGTGTTCAAACCAATCGTACTCAAAGTAAATTTGAACGAACATTTGCAAGGAATGGCTAAATATTGTTTAACAACACATATCCGATTGTATTTAATTGCACTGCCATAATCTCGGTCAAAACACAAGTGATAAAAAGCATTACCAAAGTACAAAGAGCAATATAACTGTGAATTTTCATCAGCATAACGATCACTTGATAGTTTTTGAGGTGAATCAACATATGCATAATGATTGATCTGTCACGTCATATAGGCCTATGTATCTCGCATTGTTTATAATTGATATTATTGACAGTTGCATGTGTTGCCAGGAAACACAGATACATCCTTTTGTTTTATGTACATTTGCTCACCTGTCTAATAAAGTATATGCAAGAGCGGTGTTGCTCCAAATTAGTCACGGACGTGGAGCTCTCAGCATCTCGAAAACGCCACGCTGATATTGATCCTCATTTTAGTTCTCCTTTTTTGTCCCAAAGTCTGCTTGCCATGGTCCATAATGTTTGAACGAAAACAACAACAGCGTGCAGCTAAACGTTACGCACTACACAGTTGTCCACGCCTGTCACCATGGTTACGTCATGGCTATGGCAGTACGAGTGGAAATCGAGGAAAGCGCGGATATTGCGTCATTGACAGGCGACATTTTTTTTCCGGGACGGCCCCTTATTTAAAATGGGAATTTCTCTGAAATTAAAAAATCTTTGGAGACTTTTGGGATATTGTAAGTACACAACTGCAGGAAATATATCACACTGTGCAAGTGAATTTTGGATATTTTATTACAAAATTCCTACATATTGTACCTTTAACACTCACGCGCCGTACTCTCACGTCGGCCGCGTCCTGCTCGCCACAAATACTGTTTCTGTATTCTCAATAAAAGGCCTTTTTTTTTTTTGTTGATTTATTTGAAACTTAATAGATATCATGTAAAAATATCTAGTATTGAATCATATCGCGGGGAATTCTGAAGTATCGAAAATCATTGAATCGTTGGCTTAAGAAATCGGTATCGTATCAAATCGTCATTAAGGCTCCGATTTACACCCCTAATCTCAACACAGTTAGTCTTTTTGTTTAAATCTCGTTTTCTTGATTTACCGCAAGTACCATATTTACCATGTTTACCACTAATATCAATCTAGCTCACTGCAGTGTCTCATATAGTAGCCGCCGAGCAAATGTAAAGAGTAGCATTATAACAACTTTGAACACACTCAAATCGATCTCATATTTAATTTCATTTATTTATGTATTCTCTTTTCATGGTAATGCAACATGAAATGCCACAACAACAATTTAACAAATCCAACAAACACAACAAAAAATACATTCCATGACAAGAAGAACAGGAGTAGGATGAAGAAAAAAAAATCTTATAAACTCCTACCCCATTCTTATAATAAAAAAGTTACAAATTAGATGGCCTCACCGACATGACAAAAGATAACAAGAACAAAAAATAACAAAATAGCCCAGACCAGATATAATCTACTTTCAAATTTAACAATTATTTTTTATTTTTAATTCTGCTTACACGACAACACTAAACAAACAAAAACAACAATGTTGTAATGATGACAACTCTGGCAACGAAAACAACGACGAGACCATCATTGTTGTTATAATTTTTTAACAATTTTTACATTCATCTTTATACAAATTAAGTATCTTCTGTTTATACTTGTATTTAAATTGTAGAATATTGGAACAACATTTTAGATCATTTTCTAGAAAATTCCATCTTTTCACACCAGAAACTGAAACACACATTTGTTTGAGGGTATTTCCAGCAAAAGGTTGTTTAAAGTCATTATTTCTTCTGCTTGTCTCACTATTTACAGTAAAAAGGGTTTGCAGTCCATGCGGTAACAGACAGTGTTTTGCTTTATGAACAACTAATAAAGTTTGTAAAGCAACCAAATCCTTCAATTTGAGTAGGCCTGACTCCAGAAACAGTCCTGTAGTATGTTCTCTTGGAGCAACTCCATTAATTATTCTTATGGCCCTTTTTTGCTAAATAAATAAGGGCATTAAATTTAGTGAAATAAGAATTACCCCATATCTCCAAACAATACATAAAATATGGCAAAAATAAAGGAACGATATAGGATTCTCATTGCCTTATAATTTAACATAAACTTAACTTGACTCAAAACAGTAATGTTTTTACTAATTTTATTTCTTACATAAGCTATGTGTGACTTCCATTTACATTTTTCATCAATGAGTACTCCTAAAAACTTAAATTCTGACACTCTCTCAATAGTTATTCCATTTAAAGTCAAACGAACATTTTCAGGGCATTTTTGATTTGTAAACAACATTAATTTTGTTTTACTTAAATTTAACGACAGTTTATTTTTATTAAACCATTTCTGAAGTAGGACCAATTCTTGTTCAATAGTTTTCATTAATATTTTTATGTTCTTCCCCGATAGAAAAAAATTTGTATCGTCCGCAAAAAGAACAAAACGTAAAATCTTTGATTCATCACAGAGATCATTTATATATAAAGTAAATAATTTAGGCCCCAGCACAGAGCCTTTAGGGACTCGACACTGTATTATTTCCAACTTAGGTTCATGGCCTATATACTCTACATATTGTTGTCTATTTTCTAAGTAACTAATAATGCAGTTTAATACTACACCTCTAATTCCATATGTCTGTAATTTAGATATCAATATACCATGATCAAGAGTGTCGAAGGCCTTTTTAAGTTCAATAAAAACACCAACTGTGTGATTAAAAAAAAAAAAAATTATTCTCCAATTCTGTAATAATGTCCTCTGTGATTTTCATCAAAGCCATAGCTGTTGAGCGGGTGCTTCGAAACCCAAACTGATTATCATGTATCAAAGAATGTCTTTCAAGAAAATAATCCAATTTTTTAACAAAAAGCTTCTCCAGAATTTTTGAAAATTGAGAAAGCAAAGATATAGGCCTATAATTTATGAGACTATGCCTATCACCAGATTTAAAAAGGGGAATAATTTAAGCTACCTTCATTTTATCTGGAAAGAAACCTGTATTAAAAGACAAATTGATTATATATTTTAATGGTCTAATAATGCAATGTATAGTTTCTTTGACAATATACATATCTAAGCCCTCACTATCGCATGAATGTTTACGTTGAAATTATTTCTACTGTCTCTAAATTAAACTCTCACTAACTTCATAAAAAAAGAGATTGCATGACTCTGCTTTCACCTGTCCAGCTTTTATTTTCATTATGTAGTGGTATAGTTTTGGCAAGATTTGGACCAGCATTAAATTAAATTCATCAGCCATTTTTTCACCACTTATCTCGACGTTCTGTTCATTCATTAAGTATAATGGCTGACAATAATTCACTTTACTGCCCATAACCTCCCTTAAGACTTTCCACATTCTTTTGATATTACTTTTATTGTCCATCAACAAGTTTATATAATAATCTTTCTTTGCACGTCTCATTATAGTAGTCAGCTTATTTTTATAGGCTTTATATTTTTTTTCTGCATTTATTGTCCAATATTTTACAAAGTCCCAATAATGCTTATTCTTCTTTTTACAAGATTTCAATATACCCTTCGTTAACCAAGGTTTTTTATTATTTCTT